TAAAATTGCTTTGTCCAGTTTCTGCTGCATTTCCTTTTAATTCCAGGAAACACCAAGCCTACTCCATTTCATTTCCTGACCTTCCTCCACTTCCCCCCACCTTTCTTAGGAGGTATGCTTTTGTTTGTTGAGATAGCATTTTCCAGTCCTTCCTTAACATATACTATTGTGAAATGCACTTGATATTTTAAAAGTACATTGAATTCTAAAATTAAACAGCATACTACCTCTACACAAAAGAGAAGATAATAGTTACGTATCTATTAGATTGCTATATTCAGAGATTACATGGCTATAACCAGCAGATCCTTTATCTTTCCTTCCTAGCTATGATCAGTGTCATTAGCACAAGAAAATCTCAAGGTGTAGTGAAAAACACTCCCCTATACGTGCACCGTTTGCATTCAAGTTGGGCCATCTCTCACTTTAAGTTGCAGATATCTCTTTCTGCTCTGCTGTCTCAATACAGCTTGCAGCTCCTCTGCTCAGCAGAGTGTGCTTCACCAGGGCTGGTTTGGGAATGAATTTCAAACAGTTTGTTCACAAAATCTCATGGGAACTGAGGACTGCAATAACCTCAGCATCTGTTGCTCCAAGTAAAAGGTACACTTTTTTTGACCTTGCTTTAAAAAAAAAAAAAAAAAAAAAAAGTAATATGACATAAAAAAAAAAGAACAGAAAGCACTTAGCTCTGTACATCACTGCTTTTAGGGAGAAGCAACCACATGACAGAACTGTCAGTCATCCTAATTAATATACCATTGAGATGCACTCAAATACTGTGATGAGACATACAACAAAAGCTGTACAGAAATACTCAGCTCTCTTACAGCTCCTACTCTGGGTACAGATTAAAGGAAAACACCACTCAGCCAGGATGACTGATTACATTTTCATTTGGTAATGAAAATTCTTCTAATAATTATGTTTTGCCAAGAAGTGCGCAATTTCCCCTTCTGAAAGACTGGTTTCAGAGTACAGAGAAAGCAGAAGAGAGGAGGCTAACATCTGTTTAATTTACGACACTACTGCCTGGAATAGCCTTACAACCATTCATAATTTAAGAAAGTTTCCTTCATGAAATGCCAACAATTTTTGTTTAGCATGTTATTTATTTGCTAACAGGACATCACAGCCTAGTTTATTTACGTCGCAGGGTACCTCCATTCACTACTAGACGCTAATAAGAGTCCCACTGTGGCACTGCAAAATATACCAAAGTTACTGAGCAATCGATTCTAGTTGTATTTTACAAGAGATTGATTCAACTGACTCCAGTTACACTGTTTAAGCCACTATTCACATACCCTAGATAAAGTCTAGGATTATTTAAAGCTCTAATGTTGTCATTAGATTACCGGGGTTTCTGTTCTATAGCACAGGCAGCCGCTGGACTACCTACCAGTATCACCGGTCTGTGAAGCTACCAAACTTCAAGAACAATACTAGTGTTCCTCTTTTCCCTTTGAAAACTCTATTTATACACACTGTGCAATGGTGTTACTATCTACAATAAATGCAAAAGCATGCAGAGTGAACATTTTCTCGATGAAAATACTGCAGCCTTTATACAAATAGAAGGCTACGCATGTAGAGCCATCATTAAGTCCAGCACTGATCAAGCACAGGGCGATGTTTCTGTTGGGAAATCCAGTGCAGTGTATGGCTCTAATTTAGGGATCCTCCCTTTTGCAGAGCTCTGTATCCTGAGCTGGAAAAAAAGGGAAAAGGGAGCAAACAGGTCCCAGTCCACAACCCTTCAAGAAATCTTATAAAAAGATGGAGAGCAGCTCTCTGCTCCATCAGATATTGACACAACAAGGGGGGGGATGGTTTTAAACTAAAAAAAAACGGGGAGATTTAGATTAGAAGTTAGGAGGAAATGCTTCACTCAGAGGGTGGTGAGGCCTTGAGGTTGCCCACAGAAGCTGTGGATGCCCCATCCCTTGGAGGTGTTCAAGATCAGGTTAGATGAGGCCCTGAGCAACCTGATCTAGAAGGTGGCGTCCCTGCCTATGACAGGGGTGGTGGAACTCAATGATCTTTGAGGTCCCTTCCAACCCAAGCCATTCTATGATTCATTCTACGATTCTATGAAATCAAGAGATTTTGCCTTGCTACCATCTTGCTTTGCTCTCTGCAGCTGCCCCTATAAAAGGCCGTGCTCTGATTCTGAAAATGTTGCAGGGTGGAGAGAGTGATCCACAAGTACACTCAACTCTTCAGCCTTTCCTTTGCCACCTGAGATCTTACCGGGCACAGAAACTTTTCTGAAGCATTTGATTCTGCATCAAACAAGACATCTTATTCTGCAGTAACCTTCAAAGCATTAGGGAGCATTTCTGAGGCAGTGGTGGTGCACCAGCTCTAGGAGGAGGACAGTCCATGGAGATTTAATGCTGTGCAGCCACTGAAAACATGGGAAGGCAATTATATCTACTGCAAATTACACTGGGAACATCAATAGATCAAGGCAGTGATCCAGCAAAGCACTTAAGCACATGCTTAACTTTAAGAGCTCACTCCTCCCAGGCCTGATTCTGCACTATTTTAGAGGAACAGCCAAAAACCCACCATAGGAAAGTTCTGTGCGCTAGTCTTACAGGAGACATGGTGGGGCAGCTGCTACACAGCAAAGTAAGACCATCAGAAAGGTCTCCATCAGAATGGTCTGATGTTGTTTCACAGTTCGTCCTGCAAATTCCTCATCCCAGAGAAGAATCAATACAAAACTATTGACCACAGCAGGAGATCAAATGAACTTAAACGACCTACAGTAACTACAGGAAAAAAAAAATGTTTCTAATTGGCAGAGGGAACTTGCTGGAGCTGTTAAATAAATCTTAATAATAAAGAGATGTGTGATATTAAAAACAGTGCACTGTTTCGGCGTCCATATATACTTTGTTGAAAATATCAAAGTGCTCCAAGTCAGTCAAGCTTCATAATTCATCCAGGAAATTTTCTTGCGAATATACCACTGCCTCCCTGTGTCTCTTGAAATGCATGATTGATGGTTTCTGAGAATTTAAGCATTTTGAAGCGTAATTTCTTGTACCGACCAGTTTATTTATAGGATGAGCGCTAAAAGCAGACACAGAACAAAGCATAAATAGCAAAAACTTAAGCAACAGGATTTTCCTATGGGAAAACGAGGGATACGGAAAATTTGTTGCACCCATTGAATTTCAGTGGGCCCTAAATACCAAGTTAGGCATCTCCAGAAATTCCTAATTTTACTACTACTACTATTTTTTCTATTAATAAATTATCCATATGAAGATTCCATTCTTAATTTTGTACTTCAAAATTATTTAACATGTTTTATTACATACATCTCTGATTGCAAATTGCTCATAATTATTTGTTGCTATCATTATTGTGACAAAGTGCAATTTATTGCCTGAGTTGTGACCTTGCAGCCTAACTGGGGAACAGCAGAAAACTGACTAAGTCTAGAATTAATTACAGAAGATGATACACCTTTGAGGAGGTTTGCTTTATACTAACTCTTCCACAGTTTTGTTACCCTGAAACTTGGAATTTGCCTTGGGATTAGATCTTAGAAAATGGGTATTCAGTCTCTACCTTACACAGAGCCTTTGTGAGCTTGCACATGACAGATTAGGGCTAATCCCATTCTTTACAAAGTCTCTAAAATACTGCTTCCTATTCCTTTTATTATCTCCCTTTATTTAAATTATAGATGCTTATTTCTGTTGAATGCACAGTAAGACACTAATTTTGGCTAGACCACTAAACATTTTAAATTAAAATCAAGTATAAATAATAAGCTTAGGATTCAGCGTAGTGTTGCTGTGGTCAATGAAGCTGGTCAGCACGCTTCTGATGGAAGAGCTTTCTTCTACAGAACATTGATAAAAGCAACAGCTTCCCACAGAAATACACTGCTTTCATTGATATTATTATAAAAAATTAAGTGCAGCAGAAAAATAACACTTTAAATCATTTGAAATATCAGAACATTCAAGTCAAAAGATGTGTATTTCATTTTACCATAATGAAAGTGCTTGATAATGTCTAAATGAAAAATTCCAAACAAGGGAATTTTGAAAGTTACATCTGCAAGAAAATCCAGTTTTGGAGATGCTCTAATTAATCCACTGATTTTTTGTTTTGTTTTGTTTTGTTGTTGTTGTTGTTGTTTTTTACAGCATCCTTCTTCAAGCACCTATACCACCTCAAAATCTCAGGAATGTTTAAGTGGTTAAGGATTTGGGATTAACAGAAACATCACAACCCTCTAGAGTTATCAAACAGCAGAGGTAGGAACTCTGGAACTCATTTACTCAGCTAAGGTAGGATATCTGACTGCAAAGTTACTGAGAAATTCTTGCCAGAACAGTGCCAATGGCCAAGACTCCTTTCTCCTGCCCTCCCTCCTCAATTCTAACTCTTTCAAAAATTTACCACTTATGTAAATTTTCAGGTTAAAGTTCTGAATAACTTTTTGATAATGAAAATATTTTCAGTTTAAAATTCTGTAACACTGAAGTAGACGAGAAAAAAAATCAGATTTTCTTTTGACAACCAATTAATAGAACAGAGATGATAGTTGGTTGCAGAGGAGAAAGCTGTCCTTCCTGAAAGCTAACCAGTTAGTTGTAGAGGTAGGCAGCACACACGCACACGAGACTAGTAGGCTGTTACATTTTGCTGGCACCAGCCAATTCGTAATTGCTGCTGGGCTCTTAATCAACCTTCCACTACCACCAGCATAAGATAACTTCATCCATGTCCTTGTCAAACTGCAGAACATTCAGGGTGTAAAATATAGACATACATACAGGCTTTATTTTCTCCTTGGAGAATTTATGTACCATTACATTCTATTATATTTTTTCAGCTGAATATTTAAACGATGTTGAATCAGTGATCACTAAACCAGGCACCTTTTTATTCAGCAAGGTTAGGATCTTTGACCCCCAACTGCCTCTAACTATAAGATGAATCCTTTTATAATACTGACAAATTATTAATTTTCTGCCTTGACTTTTAATTTAACATTTGGAGTCAGCAGCAGTAAAATCATAACTTCACACCAGCTACAATTTCTAACTTTTGTACGTGACATTATAATATCTTTCAAACATGAGAAACCAAACATTCTGAAAATGAAACCTCATTATTATACCCATTTGTGATCAAAGAAATGGCTTGGTTTTGTTTGTTTGTTTTCATTTTCTGTCCAGAAGGGGATGATCAATGGAATGCATCAATTTATAACACTGCTGCTGTAATGCATTCTTGAAACATTGCTGATATTCAGAAACAAACACTTTTCAATTTGTAAATTTTCTGCAAAATACTTTCCTTCAGCTACCCATTAATCAAAGGAAATCATAGAAGTTTGCTGTCTTTTTTTTTTTTTTTTTTTTTTTAAAGCTCCATATCCTCACTTTTATAGACAAAGTAACTGCACCTGGGATGACAGCACACACTGCAGCATATGCAGCAGATCAGAGGATTTAGCTCATGGGCTTCTCTGGCAAATCTCCTGCTCCCTCCCAGTCCCATAGGGAGTGCTGGTGAAATCAGGCATGGGAGCCACCACCACACACAGAGGTAACATCCTGCAGTCTGCTGGCTGATGGCAAACTCTTGCCATCAGCTCTGGTTTGTGCTGCAGCTCGGTCTACTGCTAATAGCAGGTAATAGCAGGCCAAGGTTAGAGTATACCAATGAGGGTTTTTTCTTGTCTGGACCTACACCGCAGTATTTCAGTGGTTGCAATTTCTTGTTAGATACCTGGGTTGGTTCAAGAGGCTGTTTGCTCAAGCATCAGGCCGTCATCTCTTTGCCACAAACAGCAAGTACACAGTTAACTTCCATTAACTTCCTAGGGAAAGAAGGTACAGAGATTCAATTTGGGTTGCCAAAAGGCCCTGACAGTTTAACTTTCTGACATAAATTAACACAAACACAAAAATGTATGTATATGTTAGGTACACAGGAATTTTATCATTACAGATAAAGAAAATTGAGTTTCTTCTTCCAACTCTTCATTTAGAAAACCATATATAAAGAAAGAAGAAAGGTTCAGTTTTAAAAAGAAGCAATATGCAATTGTAAAGTGAATTCTTCAGTAGAGTGAGGAGAGTAGAGAGAGGAAAGAGAGGCTTGTTGTTACCACATCAGAGGATAAATTTCTTTACACTAACTCGGGCTTGTTGTGCAAATGGAAAAACAATTTTGCCTTTATTAGTTTTATAATAGACTTAGCTACAATTTGTTAATTAAAATCCTAAAATTGGCCTAAGTGTCAAGTTAGGGAAAAGCGTGCATACTGGGTAAGCAGTGACAAGTAGCTAAACATGTCATTGTCCTCTTTCTGCTTTGCTGCACAAGTAGAAGATGAGTTCATTTTCACAGACCAATTTCCTCTTACACCTGTTCTCATTAATGGGATTTTTATTCTGGGGCATTTGGAGTCTTTTCCTGAGAATCTACCAATAGCTCAACAACTGCTGCATGAGTAGGGATTCATTTTTTGGACCACAACCAGTTTTAACTACAGAAATACACTTTTGTAAACCATCAACTTAACACAAACCACAAAAGCAACAGTTAAGTAGCAAAATATGAGCTAAACTGTCTAGTGAGCAAGGTCAGCTACCGAGACACAGCAGCAAACTGGGATATACTTACTGTTGAGAATCCATTAGTGCTATTGTTCTTTGCACAATATGAAAGGTAATACAGATGTTAATTCCATTTACCTGTGACTAATAACACTAGGAAATTAAAACCCTTGAAAACAATTACGTATTTTCACAAAAAAAGGTACTTTATTTTAGGCAGTAAAACAAATGACATAACAGTACGCTTCTAAATGAGCCACTGGATGTCTTTTAAGTGCAGAACAATCTGTTAATCTTAACTATTAGAGTAAGAAAAACAGAATTTGGCTGGTTAATAAAAATCTAGAGCTACAGAGAAAATGTTTGTCACCTATTTTATTGTTGTGTGTTTTTGTTTGTTTGTTTGTTTTGAAATTTAAGCAGGTATCATAGAATCCTGAAACAGCTAAGTGCAGCATGTAAGTGCTTACATCATATTTATTCTCCAGGAATGTTTCACAGAGGGTGCTAAGTACTTACACCAAGTATAAAAACGGGCATTATGCTCCTCTGAAAACTCCTAGAACTTGTACTCCTAGTTCTCTCTGTGTACCTGTAAGGTATGACAGAAGGTCATAAAGGTCTGAATGTGCCTGGCTTTTAGGAATCCTTTTTAGCATCCTATAACCCAGAAAAACTCTAAAACATGGAACTGTTGGACTTAATCTTAACATCTTCAAATTATTACTCTGCTTTTTCTTCAAAACAGCTTGTGACTTTCCTAGGGGATTTCAAAGTGTCAGTCATAAATCAGCTGTTTGTCAGAGCTCATGACATTTAGCAATATAGCAGACAGAAAGGATGGAGTGGGCATGAGGTGCTGTCCTCACTCAAGTGTTTGAGGGCTGCATGGGCAAAGAAGGCAATTTACGTGGATAAACAGACAGCTTCAGACAGACAGCCCTGTGCCCCTCCAATTCCATCGTACAGTTGCTTAGTGCTGCAGATAGGGCTTCTCGAATTCTCATTGGGGATTAGGTATTCATGGCAGCAAGTAAGAAATGCAGTGCAGGGAGCCAAGTAACTGAAAAGGAGAATGTTATAATCAGTTACGATAAATGGATCTTCTTTCTGGGAAAGACCTAAGAAAGGACAAAAGTAGATTAAAAAAAAAAAAGAAAGATTCTTCAGTTCCCTTTTTACCTAAGGAAAGGTTAAAAATTAAACATAACTATTTGCTGAAATAAAAATTAAATATAAGCTTTAATAAAGTTGGACAGAAGGCTTATGTGACCACTACCAGCCTCACTTACCTCACTGTCTACACTTAACAACACCCTGCATTGTAAGGCAATATTTATAATCCCTTTCTATGTGGAAAAGTGTTATTAAGACGTAAATTGCTCAGTCTGAAGACAGAAAAAGCAAGCAGGCAGTGAGGATGCAGAACATCATCTGTATTTCACGTGAGCTGATGTGAAACCTGCACTTTTTTTTTTGACACTGAAAATTTACAGACACCCAGGTTTCAAGAACAAAACTTGGTTTTCAGAAGGTTTCTTTCCAAGACAAAATATGGGTTCCATGATGTCCTTTCTTGTTGCTGGTTATCAATAAAACTCCAAATCTTCCTTTCAAAGAAGACTCAAGGGGAAATTATCAATGAGCACTATAACTAAGCCCTTGTCAGATATCAAAGCTATGAGGTTGCTTTTCCATATATTTCCCTGGGAGTTTTGTATGCCTGAATGCTTTCATTCTGCTTTCACCCCCACTAATAGAAAGCAGAACATTATCACAACCAGAAGATAAATCAAGATATGACAAAGACCTTCTGAACAGACATGAGTGCATTTCAATTAAAACTTGGATTTTGCTGTACTAATTGTTCCCATTATGTTAATATCATAATTGCTGCCATTTTCTTATATAATCTTGCTGCTCCTAACAAAACAGAAGAGCAACCCATAGAGAGCTTGAACATGTCATGAGAAGTTTTCAAGGCAGAGAACAGGAGGTACAGTTAATTTGTGAGAAGGTTTTGCTAGAGTACTATGGAATAAGGCAAATCATTAATTCCTCATTAAGTTTAGGAAGATAACCTTTTAAATCATAATTAGAAGATACTCCCCCCCCCCCCCCCCAAAAAAAAAAAAGTGTGTCAGGAACATGTCTTCTCAATAGATATTACAATGAAGTTTTCTGCAATATACTTGCTAATGGATTAATAATTGGATAGTTTGCTTAATAGGAGAGCGCTTATTATTAATAGAATTGCTAACTGTACAAGGTTTGGAGGAAAAAAACATAGCTAATGATCCCTTACTTTTTAGAACTGATATACAGAAGGAACACTGCACAACCCTGATGAGAGTGTCTTTGTTTTCTTTTGTCCTTTTTCCACTCCTCTTTCTCTTACTGTCCTCTCCCAGCATTTGCACATACTATAATTGGACACTAACACCATTTGCACCTGGAATGAGCTAAAGAAAGAATCAGCATCTTCATTTCACAAAAAGTTAAAGAATCTTATTTGGAGAGAGCATGTTTTATACAAGTCCAGAGCAAGCAAATAGCATAATTCCTAGTCAGATCCTGTTTCTTAGCTGTTTCTTCTAGACTATGCCCTCATATTGCTTAATGCTACACAGCGTTGTTTAAATATGTAGCTGTATCGAATAGCGAAGCTCTTATTCAGTATGTTCACATTTGAGACATGTCCCAGTGGTATTTCTGGTCATTTCTGACTATTACAGCCTGTTTGGTGGTTTAGTGGAAGAGATCACCTCCCAGTAGACAAACACATATCTTACAAATCACTACTATAGCAGGCAGCTTGTGATCAGTTTTCACCCTTGAATATTCCACAGGGTGAAAAAAAAGAAGAAAAACGCCACAGAGAGGGACCAATATAAGCAATGACACTGACTGAGCAGGATTAAATGGGACCTACACTCCTGACGGTATCCAGATAGTAGGAAGTAGATATAGAAACAGTAGCTGAGAGCTCAATGATCACAGAAGGAATAATATTCTCATAGGCATCTTGAGGGTGTCTTTTAGGTCAATGGGAACTTCCCAATAGCTTCACAAGGTCTCCCACTCCCAGAATTTAGTTTAAACATGGCATGCATTCAAAGTGAAAATAATATCAGCGTTGTCCTGAGTAAACTGGGGCGAAGTAGAGGCAAACACTCCTCCTGGCATCATCTTTCTTCCTCTAGGGCTAATAAAAAAAATTAAATGACTTGTAAACTATGTAAATAATGAGTGGCCTACTATTAAAGAAGGCTAAATGAATTAGCTTTACTGCAGTTCCTACTGCAAGACCATTGGTAGAGAGGGTCTGATTTTGGTCTATTATAAGGTTGTTTTACATCATTCTTGCAGCGTAAAGGGAAATTAAGTGAACATAAATGTGATCTATGTCCACTTTAAGAATTCTTTCCTGCTTCTATGTTGAACAAAGGGAGCTTACTGTAAATAAGGCTGAGAAAAATGACATTCATTTTGCTACCTTGGCAAGAGAATGAGTTAAGTAATCCTCAGAGCAAGAGGTCTGAGGCGGAATAATTCTTGCACCTGAGTTGTGAAATGAGAAAACACTCAACATATCTGGATAGTAAACCCCACTCTTCCTTTAGTCAGGCAGACTTAAACTGGATCTTCTGATGCCTTTCCTGCTTAGTGAAATGAAAGCTGAGAACTGGAAGTAGCATCACCATCAGAAATGACGCTGCCAGAGTCAAAATTAACTTTATGACCATACAATAACACTAGTGTATCAAAAAGGAACAGACTGTAAGATTATCCTGTGTGACCTTAGAGCAATCACTTCACCTCAAGTCCCGTACCTGCTGTATCACGTCAGCCACACGCACTATGCACATATTTTTATCTTTTGTCTCAGGTGCTTAAATGTCAGTTCCTGCCTTGTCTCACAGCTGCATCTTGCATTACCTACTTTTCCAGCTGCCTTCCTGAGATCTGAGACACGGTACCTCAGCACTTATTAGGAGCCATCCTCTTACACCTTCAAACTCTCTTCTGTAATTTTTTTATTTTTATTTTTATTTTTTTGCAATGACAGCAGAAGAACTTACAACAGTTAAGCCACATGCACTGCAACCACTGTCTGTCATGGGGACCAGCACTGTGCAACAGTTTCTTTGAAACCCATCTGGCTGTATCTACCTGCTTCCTTCTATGTTCAGCTCACTAATGCTTTGTAAGACAGGCTGCTTCTGTTCCATACCTCGCATACTGGAGGATCAACAAT